AGAGAGAGAAAAAAACGCAGCCTGTCAATTTTCCAGACCCTCGTAGCAACTAGCAATCGTTCAAAGAAGCGATAGCGAGAAATTAGAAGTTAAAAAATACTCCAAGACACGACGAAGCAACAGTTCGGGTATTTACAGTCACGGCGGATCAGCCGGATTAGAACGTTTATAAACTTCAACGTATTTCCAGCAGCTTTTGCAGTGTGTAAAACTAACCAGAGAAACCGAAGCAAATCTAGTCTAGGCGAGATTTAAAAGCGTACAGCTTGCGCGTTTAAGGATTATTACGAACGTGCCGTCCGCCCTCGAGATGATCGGACGTGATCGTGAGCGTGAACCGCGCGAACGCACGCGGATGCAGGAAGCAAGCTTGCCTTGTTCTCGAAAGTTAAGTAATGTTAGTTTTGAAAAGAAACAAAAAGAAAAAGAAAAAAAAAAAAAAAACGGAGAAAAGAAAAGAGGGCCGATCGAACGATTCGTTCTGTACGATGCGTGACAGGGGACGATTATGTTCCGAGCTGGTCTAATAGCAAATCAAGTGCACTATGGATCGTATGGCTAACTCTAGCAGCACGAAGTCTAACGAGTTAATAGTGAAATTGTCGTAAGAGAGAAACGAATGCTGCAGGTATTAAACGAAGTATAAGCCGCTGTTGATGTTTCCTAACATGGCCTTCGATTTCTATCGAAGCGATCGGGTACAATAGGTACCAAATGGGAGAGGATATTACGACCAAATACCATTTATTCGACATCGTAAAATGAAATAAAAAAAAAAAAAAAAAAAAAAGGGAAAATAAAAAGCGGAAGAACAAATTTACGTAAGACAGAAACGACGTTTCTATTGAATTTCGGTTGAAGGCGCAGAGAGAGAAAAAAAAAATCGTATGATTCGAATCTGCCGCAATTACTTATGATACACCTAACAAAAGAGAAATGCCTAATCAACATGTACCGTGCTCCCACAGAATGTATTTACGTTTTCGCATTTTGTGATTTCGTTTCAATATTCATGTATTACCGTAACGTTGATTGCGACATCGAAAAAAGAAAAAAAAGAAAAATAATAGAACGAGGTATTCGATAAATTTGGAGCACCTGTACACTTAAGAATATTTAAGTAATGCTAACGATGTTACTTGCGATTTGGTATATGACGAACGTCAAACACGAAAAATATTTTATTCTAGTCGTATCTTTCATGCTTTGCCAAGTAAAGTAATATAATTCCTGTGTTAAGTGTAATAGTCAATTATGTTTTAATAAAATCTGCCAAGATTCTTGTCAATCCTTTTCTTTCTGCCTAACCACTGACTGAACGATTAACTAACTAAAAATATATATAAAACATTAAGTAACTAAAATAGTCTATGCTGACATTGGGAAGAAGAAACACGGGAGATTATGATACGAGGATAGCTTGGAAGCAGGATTTCAAACTATCAAACTATCAAAGTTATATCAAAATATATATTCGTATAAAACTCTTTGTATATGTAGTATAATAGTAATAATTCATATGTATGTTCAAATCCTTTAGAACAACACGACCACTTTCATCTAATAAGAAAGATATTAAACAGCAGTCTTTAGTAATTATTGCTAACAAGATACAAGAAACATATTTCATATATATATATAGATTTCAATTGGATAAAACATGTATTTTCTAAACGTTCCTATAACTAACTATAGTATCCATTTTATGAATAGAAGTTGAAAATGATCGTAATTGTACTTCTTGACTGTTTGCAATGAACACTGGCTGTGTTTCATCCCATTCCTTCGGGATACCACAGTCAGGTACAGTATATGTTAAAATATCAAACGAACATAAACAATCCAATAGTGGAAGAAAACTTACAGTACCTGAAACACAAAACATCCAACAAAACGAATTTCAATGTTTCATTAATCTGAGGCATGAACCGTAATAAGATGACTCGAATTATTAAATCAGCTACCTGTGATCTGACGTATGACTTCACGAATCTCTCTTTGTATTGTCTTCACATCCTTTGTACCTACTTCAGGAAGACCGTTACTTTTATTGTCATTGGTACCATTAGACGTCTGACCTTCATAATCCACTTTGAAATCCCATTTCTCTAATACTTCTTTGGTATTCACGTTTGTTATAACGAGCGTTATTTTTTGTACTTTTCGTTGAGTGAGCCATTCTTGAATCTGGCCAAGAACAGTATTCAAGAATCCTTTGATCTTTTCATCTGTCGACATTAAAACGAACAAACCGAAATGTTCGGCGGGTTCGAATGTTTCTGGCGGATAAATGCCTCTTTGATACAAAATGCTGTTTATGCCATAAACTGAAACAGAAAAATGAAACAGTACGTGAGAAATTCCAATGAAAATCTCCAAGTAACGGTCCATTCAACAACTGTAAATACGTTTTAAAACGACAGAAAAAGTACAGTGGACTTACGAAGATATTCTTTAACCAACTCCGCCGATCCTTTCAACGTGATACATTTTGTTTTCTGCTGAGTTTCTGTCATAATTTTCGAGCAACTAACACGAAATACAATTAAACAAACCAAATTTCCGCTCAAAATTCTAGTACCTTATAGGTTAGAACGACGCCGGTTTGCCATTTTAAAAACGTCCAATGCGCTGCTTACTAACAGACGTTTTAACCAATCACAAATTAAGAGGAAAAATTGATAAGCTTCTAGTTTGTGAAACAAACTAATATCTAATATAACTTCAATGAATATTACAACGTACCAACTTCAATTTAGTACGTTGAAACTAAGAACGAATTTGAAATTATCGAAATAATTCTTTTGACCAATCGAAAATAACATCGCGATAATGCGTTCCACAAACAACACGTATGGTACGAAAGAGCAATGCATCTTAGTCTGTCATAATTCATGCTCGACTGCAACGCCACATGAAAATGGAAACTAATCGACAGTATTTGAGACTAACGTACACCCAGTTGCGATTAGGCTTTTAAGTTCGTTATACGCGTTCATCATGGCATCCGCTGAAGAATTAAGCGTCTCTGCCCTTGTGTACGATTATTTATTAAAGAAAGACGCATCGCTGGCAAAAGTTTTCCAAAAAAAAACAAAAGCGGTAAGGTTATAGCGAGTTATTGTATACGTAAGATAGTTGATCGATCTTTAAAAGGCAAGTGCCCATGTAATACCAGAAGTGCCGCCATTTGGCCATACCACGTGGGCGAAATATATTTGTTGTATTATATTTCGAATTTATCGTAAAATGAAACCTAATTATCGTCATTTTCATCCATTATATAAAATATTACTTAATATTACTTACTATAAAATATATTAATTTATATATTTTTATGTTAACATATTTTTTATATTAATATTTTTATATTTACATATCTTTTATATTACTATCTTTTTTTATACTAATTAATGTAAAAAAAATATTGAATAAATGAAAATATTTTTTTTAAATTCTGGATAATACATCATAAAGGATAGAATAACTTTCATTCATGATCGTTTACTTTGTTTCCAGCCTGGGTTGCCAAAAGATGCACCAACGATACAGGATGTATTTAATCACTTTCAAAAAACATCATCAAAGAAATTGAACATAAAGACACAGGCTAAAGACTCGAGTTCGGATACAAGTTCAGAGAGTGAAGAAGAGGCACCAAAGAAAGTGTCCACACAAATAAATGGTAAACCTACGGGTAATGCTGTAGTAAATAATAAGCAAAAAGAATCTTCTTCAGAAGATAGTTCTACCAAAGATGAAAATCCTACATCGAAAACAACTACAAAAAATAAAGGTACTGTCAAACCATTATCTAAACCACCAACTGTGAAGAAAAAAGAAAGTTCAAATGATAGTTCATCAGATTCTGGTTCAGATAGTGAAGAAGAATCTAAAGTAAATGTAACTGCAAAAGCAACTTCAAAACCAGTCATTGCAGCCAGTAAAAAGAAGGAATCATCAAGCGATAATAGCAGTGTTAGTGAAGACAAAAGTCCATTTAAGCCATTATTAAAGAACGTACCAGCTGTAAAAAAAACATCTAAGAAAGAAGAATCCAGTAGTGATGATTCTGATGATTCTCCTGAGGAACAAAAAATTAAACGTCAGCCATCGATTAAAACTAAGCCAGTTGCAAAACAACAGGAATCTTCAAGCGATGATTCTGATGATTCGTCAGAAGAGACAACTAATACAAAGACACCAGTTGCTAAACCTAAAAATAAGAAGAAACAAGAGAAAACTGTTCAACAAAAGAAAAAAGTAGAATCTACTTCAGAAAAGAAAGAAACATCAAAACCAGGAAAGCAAAATAAAGGTTTAGCAACAAAATCAGTAGTAACAGTAACAAAAGATTCATCATCTGATGAAGATAGTAGTGAAGAAGAAGCACCACAAGCCAAAAAAACTGCTCCTCCAGCAAAGATAGTTCCAGCTAAAAAAAAGGAAACTTCTAGCGAAGATAGCAGTGAAGATAGCGATGAAAGCAGTGAAGAAGAACCACCAACTAAGAAGCTTGCGGCTTCACCACAAACACCAGTAGCTGTAAAGAGCGTAGTAGCTAAAAAAGAAAAATCTTCTTCCAGTAAAGATAGCAAAGAAGAAGAACATCAATCAATCAAGAAAGCTACTCCTGCTAAATTAGTAACATCAGGTGTATCTAAGAAAGCAGAATCTTCTAGTGAAGACTCTGATGAGAATGATGAGAATGACAAGTCAGTTACAAAAGCGACACAGAAACCTGTGATACAATCAGCTGCAAAGAAAACTAAATCTAGTTCAGAAGATTCAGATGAATCTTCTGAAGATGAAAAACCATCATCTACAGTTACAAAAACAGCAACAAAAACTAGTATTAAAAAGGAATCGTCTAGTGAAGATTCTAGCGAAGATTCAGATACATCAGATGATGACAAACCTCAAACACCTGCTGCTAAAACTATCTCAAAACAACCAGTTAAAGAAAATTCAGAAGACAGTGATTCTGATAAGGAAACGCAAAAGAAAAAAGAAATACAAAAAACATCTAAAGCTCAGAAAAGAAAACACGATGAACAAGAAGAGGAAAATGAAGAGAAGCCTCCTGTGAAAGCTCAGAAAAATAATTACACTAATTTTGTAAAGCCAAACCATAACTTCAATAACGACAAGGTAATTATTATTGTATTTAATGTAATTATTTAAGAGAAAGAAAACATTTTTATTTACGAACTTCTATGTTTAGCAACCCAAAAACACTCCATTTCGTCGTGTAAAGGGCGAAGAGATAGAATTGGATCCCAAATTGGCAAACAATTCTTTTGAGGCAAAGGTAAATGCTTGGAAACACTTGAAAAACGCAGGTCACTCTCCGTTTTATAAAAGTTTGAAGCCATGTTTCCGTGCATTCACCAACACCTTTTAAGAGAATTATTAAAAAGATGTTTATAAAGATGTTTTCGATGGATGGAAATGTATAGAAAACGGCGGTTGACCTGCGTATCCCTTTTGTTTTAGGAGGACAATCAGGAAGAGGGTGGTTTTAGGAAACATAGTGGAAGGGGTGGATTTAGTGGAGGCAGAGACAGTTTTGGTCGCGGTGGATTTAGGGGAGGACGTAACAATGGTGGTGATAGAGATAGAGGCTTTGGTCGCGATGGCGGTAATGATAGGGGAGGAAGAGGTTTTAGAGGTGGTTTCAGGGGCGGTCGAGGAAATTTTAGAGGTGGTTTCGACGGTAGAAGATCATGGGGTGGGAACGATAGGAAATTCGATTCTGAAGGCGCTAAAACTGACGGGTTTAAGAAATCATGGGGTAACAGTGATAGTGGGAAAGATAATTACGGTGGGTTTAAAGGGGGCAAAGAAGATTTTAACAAAAGGAGATCATTCGATAGCGCGCCGGGAAAAAACAAAAAGATAACGTTTGACAATTGATGATGGTAAAAATTATATATAATGAAGGTGAGGGATTGTTAGTTAAAATAATAATAGTCCAAGTAAATGTTTATAGTAAACGAGAATGTAATTTTTGTTCAACAGAAGGGCGCTCGTGGATCGTGGGGAGAAAAAGCAAATCAAGACTTAAAATTCACGAGAGGAAAAATGTTTCGTCATCAAAAAACGAAGAAAAAACGTGGTAGCTATCGCGGCGGTCAAATAGATACTAGTGTGAATTCTATTAAATTTGACGATTGAACAGTTGTAAAATGTACGTGTCCATGTTTTAATATTATTGATTTATGTATTTAAGTAAACAGATACATATAAGAATTTCCCAATAGTCCAAATTTTCTTTAGTGAAGCAGAAATGTTTCGAGTCGCGACAGTATTATATTCGAAATTCCGTGGAACGACACACACTTCAATTATGACATTTAATTTTTTTAATTGATCACACGTAATTTCTTTTTAACAATTAGTATCTATAAGACCGCAACTTGAGTATGTGCAAATTTTTAAAATTTTATTTTAATACGGAAATATGGAAATAAAATAATAAAAATTAGATTACTCAAATTATAGTCTTATAGATACCTCGAAAAATACTTCAATATTAATTTGCTATTGTATTAAAAAGTGTTGCAATATGTTTTTTTGTTATTAAAATGAGTTTAAACACGATATAGTTGTTACAAATACATTTTTGTATTTTTGCATGGACATTTACATTTATTAAACAAATATAAATATGTGTTTGCGGAATAAATAAGTAAATGCACTGCATGTTATATCGTATTTGAGCTTGTTTCAATCACAAAAGTCTGACGGTTACAGTAAAAGTTTACCAATTGTTGCATTTATTGAATTATAATTAAAATTATAATTTATACATATAGTTATTTAATTATAATTCAATATTTCATTGTAATGTTTCTTTCGATCATTTTAATCTTTTTTCTATTTCATCTGGTCTGGCCTCTATGTTCAAATGAGACTCGATACACATCTGCATTTAAAACCTGTATCTTGATAAGCACCAGTTTTAGGTTCCGACTTTTGGACATTTGTCCAATGCGTTTAATGTAATTTAGTTTCGAATCTAAATACGTTTAGACATTGCTTTTTTATAATTAGCAATAAGATCCAGCATATATAATATCTTAATAAAAGATTCAATACATGAAATACAATTTACAAGTTAATAATTATTTAAAAATTGTATGAGTATGCGATAGAGTTTATACACATGGAAACAACTTCTTATTGCAAATACATATGAATTAAAAGACAGTACCAATGCAAATAAATCCGAGCATACAAAATGTGTTGCACTATTTTCTGTCCATTTGAAAATATGTACTGTCACGTCCTAGAACTGGCCTCATACCAGGCACCTCACCCCGTCCTATAAAGCGTGCTGTGGGGTTCGTGTCGATAAGGTGGGGTAATTATGGGAAAAGGAAGCGCGTTTCGTCTCAAAGTCGCCAACCCAGACTCGTCAGTGGGTCTGACGATGGCGACCCCCCTTTGCCCCTGGCCTCAGACGCTTGGTTGTTGGAGGGGGGGAAAGCTCTAGTTGGGTATGGAAACGGCACCCATCTTAGAGGGGTGCCGCAAGACGGTGGTCGCTTAACTTCGGCGATCGCTTACGTCGCGCGGTCAGCCAACACCCACCGGCAGACTTGGGACTTTGTACATTTTTGAATTGATATATATTAAAGATGAACACCGCGGGGACTCGACATCAAATGAGGCTAACTCATCCTGGTTGTCGGCCGGAGAATTAGGACGATTAATTGAGGGATTTGCACGATGAGCCGCAGTGATGTAGCAACTTTAACGTCGGGAGACGTCGCAGTACTTTTATAATACATTCTCACAGAACAACTACATATAAAGACAATGTACACCAAACAATTGTACTGTTATTTTAACTTCACTGTAAATCTTATCTCAATATTTTTATACATAAGTAATTTACTAATATATTCTTAAAGAGAGAGAGAGAAAACATGCATTCAACAGCTTGTCTTCTGAAAAAGAGGGATGCTCTTATTTACCCTCTTTCGTTCCCTCTCTAAAAAGAAGAAAACAAAAAAAAAAAGATTTCGTGGGGCCGATATTCCTTGTCTCATCCCCTCTTTTTCCTTGGCTCTACCGGAGCACAGAGAGCGGTTACTTACGATTCTCTACAGTCAACCTCTAGACATCCACCTGTGAGGACGGAGGTGTTCGACCCCACGACATCCGGTGTGGTGACATGAACAGTGTTTAAGGAACTCGTGTGCCCCCGTATCGATTCTCTTCTTTCTTAGATCCGAACCGATTGCGACCGATTCATGTAACGCGTGTAACCGATCACATTGTCGAACGGACCGAGAAAAGAATTCAAGCGTACAGTGTTAGAAACGGTCTTTCTCACGGTGAGTGACATTCTGTAACAGATAATAATTACAAATTTCCATGACTGAATATAAAATCGGGAAACGGCGAGATATAGAATTCAGCGAGCCGAGAGTTCATGAACTTTCACGAATTAAATAATACTCGTACCGATCTGTAATCTAGAAATAGACAAATCTCAAAATCGATTAACTATGTTCTGAAGCTGCGAGATTTAATTTTGAGTTTGTTAATTTCATTTCTAATTAGATTTCTTACTGTATATTCCGAGAATCATCTTGATGCAAGATCGAGAGACACCGATACGAGCGAATTGATCTTTTAGCATCAGGGATTAAATTAAATTAAATTAAAATCGACTTTAAGAAATATTTCAAGCAATTACACGGATAGTGGAGCATTTTAAAATGCTGACAATCACAGTTCAATTGCCAAGATTTCCTGAGATCTTAACATCCAAGGTATACATTTAGACATGCCGCTTCGAGTTACTTTTTCTTGCACTTCAGTCTTGCGTTTTTTTGAACCACTATATTATTCCGCTCGGAGTCACAGTTACTTTCTAGTCATCAAGTACATTTGCTCCCAATGCAACGAGGAAACGATCGTTCATTGCGTAAATCTGCCAGAATGAAATTGCAATTGACCGCTGGAAATTGCAATTTACGCGGAGTTGTCGTGTGACGATAACGAGACTGCTTAACACGGAGGCTGAAGAGACGGGATTCCAGACACCGGTAATAACTCCTTTATTCATAGAACGAAATACCGAAATCGCTGTACCGTTAACAGAGACCGAGGATGAATAAATGTTCGATAAAGAACGAGCAGGGCGAGAGAAAAGAGCGTTTTGGACGATTCATCTTTACCGTTAGAAGCAACCGCATGACACGCTCATGGTCCATGAGAAATCCTCTCCTCGATGCCGGAAGCACGGTTCTTCCTCGGCCTTTTTTTCTCCCTATGTCATGTTTCATCGAGTTTATTTTACCTACCAATTCTCGCGTTACATCTAACCGTTCGAACTTCCTCGAGGCTGATTCGCAACTCCAGTTGAAACGAGGCTAGCTCGTTTCAATTCTAACCGGCTGTTTCCACGATCGGAGATAGCTTGTTAATTATTCCCGCGACGTGTTAGCATATTAACAGTACTCTGCCGGATCATACTGGGGAAAAAAAAGAGCTCCTCAACAACGTGAGAAGTTGCGGCACGAATAATTGTTCCTGGTGATCCTAAATTACCGCGAATCCACGAACCCGTGGAAGACCTTGATCTACCAAGTTCAGGTGATTCTCACAGGTCTCTCTTGGCTGCACTCGGTCTCGCCTTTTTTCGCAGGATCGCCGTTATGTAATCCGCGAAATGCGACCATGGTATTCCGGTAGATATTTGTCCTTATCACGCGATCGAAATATCTCTTCCAGTTATCAAGTTATTCTTCTTTCTTTTGAAGAGTTCTAAAACTATATTGTTTTAATTACTCATTAATTTTCGTTATCTAATTATTTCAGAGTTGAGTCTGTTACACACCCTAGTTAAGTCTATTACATCCATGTTCAAGTTCGAACAAAGTATAAAAATAAACGTACGTTCCTATTTCTAGACTCAAGAAGTATGGAATTATCCACTTTGTTCGATTCGCACGATGTAATACGAGGCATTTGGAGTACTGCTGCTGGTATTACGGACGATAATATGTACGTGTTTCAGTTTACGTTTCCTGCGCAGTGTAGGAAGAACGAATGCTAAAAGTGGGCAGCGCTTCCTGAAGAAATAGATGCGCGATACCAGTCACGGCCAATGACCAGCCTTGAGTGCTACCCATTAATGATTTTCTTCCTTTCCTTTTCCCACGGGCAATTTATCACTTGGCCAAACATCAAACCGCAATTTTCTGCCACCTTTCTTTCTCCAGCTTGAGAAACCGTGCGACCGATCGACCAACTACCGAAAACTAGATCGAACATCGAGGCCTCTCGATAATGAAGTTTTGCGAAAAGTACATAGTCGAAACTGCGAGCATCAAACACGTTATTAGCCACATGCTGTCGCAATGCTTTCACTCGTATTTGATTAACGACGTGAAATACATACGGCGGAAGTTATATATGGATCTGGCAACCTAGAAACCCCGAACTCTATACGCTCCGCTAATTGTCAGTCTTACTGCTTACGTGCGCTCTGCTAATTGTTATTCTTAATTGCGTTAATGGTCGTCACTCTCTCGTGTTGTCCGGATGATTTTCATCGTTCGCGAGGCTCGAAAGGGAAAAAAAAATGTTCACTCGCTGGGTCGTCTCTTTGCTGTACGCGTTAACAGCCCGTGAAACGGAATCTCTGTCATCAAGCTCTGCCGGAAGAAGAAATGATAATGATAGATCAGGAGTCAATCGTTAAATGTTCGCGTTAGATTGAAAACGTTGAAAACGTACAGCTACTTACACACGCGTGTAATGGAAAGTATATTCAAGCTCGAGTATTATTGAATATTATTCCAGTTTTGAAACTTTGAAATTAGTACTTGTAGATTTTTTTATCTTAGACCACGCCTTCGAAACACTCTGTGCAAATGATCCTGTAAACATACAAGAACAGTTCGATTGATATTATCGAAATGATTCGGTGGATTGTTTTTTGTATATATGTGACGCGTCGGAGAGCAGACTCAATGCCATTTACTTTTGCTCTTGACCTCGTGCGAACTCGAGTTCCAAGAGCGCGCGTTCACTCACACCTTTTTTTCGTCCCGGGTGACAACCGGGTTCTCTCGTACGAATTCTCCTAACAATTCAAATCGAATGTCAGTTCCGACTGTTTCGTTCGTGAGGTGTTGCTTCACTAGCAACTTCATTAGCTTTCATTAATATATCCGCGTTTTTGAAACGGCTCTCGACACGTGGAACTATCAATCCATTGCCACGCTTTCGTTTCACGTTGTACAAAACGGCTATTGTTAACTGCAATATAATTCGACCTAGCCTAATTTATCGACTGAAATTAGCTCGGCTATGTTTCCCAAATTAATTAGCAACAGCAACGATTAATTCTCACGGTGTCTTTTCCTCGCTGTGATTTTCAGATGCCCAGGTACCTCGGCCTGATTCTCGTTATCACTGCGTGCGCCCACGTATACGGAGCGAAAAAATGCGAAGGGAACGGGTTAGGCTTGAAATATGTGTGGGGAGACGCGCTCACGGATCCAGCTGACTGTGTAGGACCAAATAACATGGAGTATCCGACGTAAGTGTTCTCTCTCAGTAGAGTAGATTATACGGATTATTTATGCAAATTTGGCAGAATGAAACTAAGAAGCCTGAAAGATTGCTTCATGTACTAATTATTATAACGAGTATACTACATACTTTTTACATATTTCACGAATATTAATGCGTTAATGGCCCAATGATGCCAATCAAGAATTAAAAGATGTTTGCTCGCTCTTATCAATACGAACGACTGTCACAGTGCTGCGATATCGAGAAGTTACAAGAACCTTTGGACGAACAGCCGAATGGCCAGGTCCCGTCAGCCTCGGACAATCGATCCTGAATTAACCAGGCAGGCTCTACTTCACAATTACAAGATCGCTCATGGAGGTTACTCGATCGCCGATTCTTCG